CTGCATCGCCTGTGTGATGCCAGGAGCCCCAGCTGTGCTCAGGGAATTGTTTCTGTCCAATCTATAGAGTTTAAAGCTATGTGTATAGTCCTGACACTCAGCTGACAAACAATTCATTGTGCCTATGGTAACTATGAATGTTGAGAATTTGTAAAGCCATTTTTTTTTTCTGTTCTTCCAGTGATCTGTATAGCAAAAGGGCTTTTCTACATGTGGGATTTACAAGAGATAGTTCAGGTTAAATTTATTATTGGTTTATTGTTACCTGAGACACTTCAGTGAGGTTTTCCCTGGCTTTGATTAATTAGTAAATGATTTGTTCAAATTAAAAAACATGAAAATAGCTTTTTCAGTGCCAAAATTGATTTAAAAGATGACAAAAAGAATATACTAGCACAATGAGCACTTTGAAATAACAAGTCATTGTAGCTAAAACATGTGATGTGAAGCATTCAATCGCATAGAATATTGATATGGCAAAAACAGAAAGATCAGAATAAGGGGATGAATATTTCATTTTCATTCTTCTATTTATATTTTGCAGTATAAATATTTCATTCTGACTAATGACTCTTTTTTGTACTATTATGATATCAGTCAATCACTACGTTACATCACACATGAGAAAAAATAAAATCTTCTATTTTTCCCATTGTTGGCTTATTAATATTGCTATTCCTTGTGAAAAGAAAGAAATACAACTCCTCAGGTTCTTTAATCTTTTGCTTGCATGATTAGAATCTGTAGCTATGTTCAACCGGCTTCAGGCTACAAGATAATCATGTCTAGATGCAGTAAGATTCTTCAGGGAGTTAAAATAGGAGATGAAAAATTCGCTGCAGATTAGAAAACATATTTGGGAAGAAAGGTTTAAATTACAAGTCTCATTCATGCTACATAGCGCAACTGCACAAACACTTCAAATTCGGAATTATGCTATTTAAACCTTTAACAAAATGAAGACTTTTAGTAGTGAGATTCTGCAGTGACGTGCTTATGAATAACAAAACTGAAGAAACAACAAGTGCTGCCAAAGTCATCACAAGATTTCCAAAGCCATCTTAGATATTAAGGTTAAACTGATTTGTAATTGTGTTTCCATGTTCTTCATGCAGCTTTAAAGATGTCAGTTCTGATATTCTTTTTAAAAAAAAAAAACAGCATTACGGATTAACAAGATGATTTTACATCCAGGAATCAGTAAAGAGAGTAGCGCTGCTCTACGTAACAGATTTGTAGCTCCGAATGCGGTTAACTTGATTTGCGTCAGCAGTGAGGGTTCGGGTAAGAGTGCGTTCTAACAGGACAGCAACGTTCTGGCTGAAACTCAGAGTCACGGACCTTTGGACAAATTTACAACTTTATAACTGATATTTTAATAATATTTTTATTGAATATGTGTATATATAAAATGGATTGTCAAACATGAGTGAAACAATCAGATTTTCTGAAACTCAGTGGGTATGAACTTGCTAGAAATAACCTAGACATATCAAATCATATGAAATCAGCCCTAAAAATCAGTAGGACTGTTTTTTCCAGTTCCAGTTTATAATAGCAACAGGAAGCTCAGTGCAGGGTGTGTCCTTGGGATTAATGTGCTGCTGTCATTGGACTGTGCTTTTCTCACTGGATTTCCATTAAGAACAGATATGTTGTGTGGGACTAATATCACCATAGCTGGGAGCTCAAGCATCCAGCTGAGATCCAACTTTTAAATATGTAGTACAAAAGTCATACTTATACTACACCATTTACTAGTAGTCTAAAGAGATTTGCTATTAACATTCCTCAGAGATAACCTGCTTCATTATTTAAATTTGACTATAGTAGACTGAGTCAGCTGGTCACCTGAATAAGCTATATCACTAAGTATAATGATAAGCTAGATTGACATTTTTAAACGACAAAAAGTAAAGAGCTGGAAGACACAGGGCCAGGAGTGTGATCTCAGTTTTACCAGTCTAAAATGCAGAGTAACACCCATGAAATTTAGGTGAAATTTGTCTTCGTTCTCATGTGTAGAACTGAGAACAGAATCTGATTTCACATGCAGGAAAGCAAAAGTGATTTAATTTAAAATGTAAATTAAAAAATCCTAAATACATGACATGCTCAGCTTGTGGTATATCTAGAGAAATACAATAAAGTAAATTCCCATCTTTTTAAGTGGATGCATGAGTTTATTCTCTATTATGATGAATTTATTAGATGATTTTCTTGTGGGCAGACTCTGAGCTGGCATAAACTGCCATAGCTCTCTTATTTTCACAAACATCGGAGAACTTACTCCCGTTCAGAACTTGCCCTTTGATTTCTAATTTTCAGCATACCTCTAGGTAAAGTTTTTGTGCAGTCTGGAGAGGATGACAAGAAACTGAATGCTGAGATGACTAGAAAATAATAACTGGAAATGAAGGAAATGAGTTCTGTTTTAAAGTTTTTAAAGCTATTTAGTAGCTGTATCTTTTGCATTTTGTACGGCTGTATGTAGTCAGAAATCACTTTGATTAATTTGTTACCTTCATTACAAATATACAACTCTTAAATAAAAAGGAAACCATGGTGTTTTAAAAGTTAATTCACAACACTGAAATGATTAGATTAGGCTTCAGACTCTAACTGCAGCACAATAAGACCTTTTATCTGTATCACCACACACACTTTTATAGCTATAAGCAGCAACACATTCGGTTCAAACATAACACTATTTTATTTTTGGCATGTATAAATAGTGAAGATAAAAGTAAGAGCTGTGGTCTTTACTATTCCATTTCCTTAAAAATCAGGGCCAGCTTCGCAATTAGTGTTACTGTTTTATAGAGGCGCTGACGCCCACAGCAGTGTAGCTCATTACCTAACAGTGTAAAGTATTAATTTGAACGGACTTGCCCTCCCTGTCATGCTGCAGTTTTAAAGAGTCAGCAGTTAAACCGGTTCAACAAACTCAGATTTCCAGAGAAGTCTGTATCTGACTGTGTGCATGTTTCCTCATGTGCCAGATGGAGCAGGAACAAGTACAGATTCCTGTGGCTTACTGAAGCCAGCAGGTTCCCTGTGGAGAATATCACATATCCCAAATGTATGCCTGCATTCATTTGGCTTTATGTTTGAAAAAATGGACCTTTGCCATTGTAACATTATCAAAACAGATTAAATACTTCATGAACTACAAAACAAAAAGAAGAAGAATCTGAATTTGTTGTTCTCTCCTCTCCAGCGGACGATGGTTGACATCTCAGTGAAAAGCACTGGTGTTTAGTCTGATCTTTCAGTTTTATTTCCCTTTTCAATGCAGCTAAGGATTGAACAGGATGGGAACTAAGACCAGGTTCTGCCTGGACTAAGACCAGTCCTCTACTGCACTAAGCTTTATAGCCAACTTAGACCTCTTATGTCAATAAAAGACTCCTGAATCCAGGTTTTTGCAGTTCATCTGCAACTTTTTAGAAATAGTAAGCAGAGCCATATTGAAAATATTTAGCATTGTATGAGAAACAATACTAAAGATCAGGATGATATCTATATTCGATATCTAAAGAATAATCATGATTAAATTTGCCAGACAGTCGAAACTTAATTATATTTATTATTTTTAAATATTTTTAACTGAATCAGAGGAGTATCTCTGGTCATAACCGCAAGCGAGTTTGGGTAATTCTTTCTAAAAGACAGGCATAGGCTAACTTAGTTTCCAGTTGACCTTTGAGACAATGTCGAATCAGGATAGCAGCACCACAATCACTTTTTGAAGAAATTCCTTAAACAACATATATTTGTGCCAGGGATAAAGGAGGCTAACTTCACTACAGTGTCTTGACTCTGTTCCTTGGGAATGGAGAGCAAGTGAGCTCATTAGTCAAGGAGAACCACAGCTGGATAAGCTGGTTTAGAATAATTTGTGATTAACTGTTTGCTAGGCAGCTTATGTAAGTGCATACACAAGTACTTTGGACCCTTGGGGATCTCTGTGGTGACCTATCTGCATCCCTATTAATTTAATTGTTTTACTATACTTCAGAAAATCCACAGCTTGGCATGGGATCTAAAGACAATTTGTAATTAACTCTCAGGCTGAGTATTTGTTCAGTAGTGCTGAATCTGTCAAATTTTCTGTACTCATGTGACTTCAAAAGCATCTTAAGAGTATAGCTATGGGCAAAATGTAGTTAAATATCTTTATAAATGGAGGTATGTTTAAAAGATTTTTTAATATCTTCAATTAGAAGAGCATAGCTGTTAACTGCGTGTGTTGTGTTTATGGAGACGGTATTGAATGCAATTTGTTTTTACTAACTGTTTGGAAATGTATGGAAAAATATAAAAATCTGGTACGGGTTCTAACAACAAGTGAATTGAACTTTTCAATTTATTTCAAGATTCTTGTTAGATTACATATCTCAGATATTATTGCTTAAGCATATAGACCAAAGATAACATTTTCTGTGAAACTAGTAAGGTTTTAGCAGCGCGTTTTGAAATGTGACTTTGTTGACTCACTGTCATTGTGACTTGTTAAATATCTGTCACATCTGGAGACCTCATCTGGAAGTGAGAACACAGCTAGCATTTAAAAGCTGGTAACAACAAAAACAATTCATTTAGAAATGTCAGAAGACGCCACACAGCCAATTGTAGTACTGTCTTTGTGTAACGGCTCTATGACATTAGATAAATTAGTCTTGATAACGTCTTCTTGAGCTCACGTTAGCTTTCTTTTTGGAAAACAAACACCTAAAAGCACTGTCCTCTCCCACCAGCAGATGGAAGTTATTCAGAGGAGTCTTTTCTTTTAAATTGTCTGTGAAGTTTTGATACAATATTTGAACAGTTGAAACTGAAACAGCATTTTTATATGCCAGCAGTGTGTGTTCAGTATTCGTATGGTATGTGCATTTAAAGGAAGCAGAAGGGAACAACAAGAAACTGCTTAATATTGTAAATCAAGCATAAGTGTCTCATACTGTATCTGAACGTCTGTCTTTTCTTTCCTCTGACAGACTGATAATGTATGGCTTTGTGAAGGCCATGGTACACATTGGCCAGTTAAAAGCATGGGAATTCCACTTTACTGACTGTTTATTTTTTGGATCACTGATGTCTGCCACAGACCCAGGTAACTGTTTAAAATAAATTATCTTTTCAAAAGTCAGAGGAGTAAATAAGAACATATTTAACATAAGAACACATAAGAACTGCGTGTACCATAGAAATGTTCAAAGCCTGCATTTTTCTTGATTTTATTCCCATAACTCCGAAAAGTCTGTTGTTTGTTTTAGTAACTGGTTTGCCTATGTTTAGCTCACCAACTTTATAAATGCAGCAACTGGGGAGACTAGAACAATGTTACTATGCCTTATTCCTCAGAAACCTGCTGATACAAGAACTGCTGTCACTCTGGAGCCTCATGTTTAATAGCTTCGAGATTGGATTCGTGCATGATCTAGCCCAGTTTAACAATATGGTGAACGCAGCTTTCAGATTTGGCCATATAAATACAGTTTTTAAGGTATCAGTTTACAATTTGAATGCAGTGCTGCATGACAAATAAAACTGCATGATAAATACCAACATGTTAACCTGAATTTGCAGATATGAGATTCGAAGCCTAAATTTACAGTAAACATCCTGATCTGGGAAACTGGCTTAGTGAATTCTAGAATTACAGACTCATTTAGATTTGACGGGGCCTCTGGAGGCCATCTAATCCAACCTCCTAATTAAAACAGGGCTAACTTTAAAATTATTCAGAGACTTGTCTAGTTTTTGTTACACTGAAAATTTTAATAAGAGCACTATGATATTAAAAGTATTGCTTTGCATCAGAGACAATCATGAAGGAGAAGGTGAAAATGGTATTTGTTGATATTTTATCTACAATACTTTCCAGAAAAGATTAAATACTGAAGGATCTTGATTATTACTGGGAAAAGTGAAATAGGAAGATATAAGTTAAATACCAGAAAATTAAATTGGGAAAAAGACGAGAAAAAAATTGATAGCCAGGAGAAAGATGCAATCGCAATAGGGAGCAAAGGATTCGATATCTTGAGATATCTTCAGCTAACAGCTGGATGTTTTTCTCAGAGATTTGTCTCAGATAAATAAAAGTTAAAAAATTTAAAGTCAGTAGGGTAAAAATGAGTCTGAGATATTCGAAGCCTGAATGTTCAGAATTGTGAATGATCACAATTAATGATCTAATGATCCCTTGTGATCTTAAGCTCTGCAACAGGAGTGGTTTGTGAACAACCCAGACACAAAAAAGGACTCAGGGAAATTATTCAGTCAGCAGTTTTGAATTTTGAACGCGTTCGGAAAATGCACAAGAGTTCATGGACATTTCACAAGCAGGAAGGAAAAGAGTTTTTTATGCTTGCCATGTATATATATAGACAATTTATCTGATAGAACTCCACTTGTTCATAAGTAACATTAGTATTCTTCTGATCATCACATGGATACTTATTCATTGCACATGCTTTCAGTTCCTTCTGCAAGGGATTCAACGTGGCAGAAGGAAGAGAGCAGAACAGTACGCGTAAGGGTCGGTGGTTACAGTCATGCAAGCTACTAGGTGAATAAAACTATGTTGACCATCATAATCAAACAGTATTTTATTTCTTTGAAATTGGAAAGAGACCTCGGAAGTCCTGCCCATTAGCTCTATCAGCGTTTAGTCTCACATTGGATTCTCGCAGAATCCTTCAGTCGAGCTGTTCAGGTAGGGAAACAGAAAGCATGTTATGATGCACATGATATGCTGCACTAGTGTTAACTACCCCTTAGAAGCTTTTCTGAGAAACTTCTGAATAATTCTTTCAAATTTGTGGCTATTAAGAGAAATGACAAAAAGCAATATTGTTCTACAAATGTATTCCATTCTTTAAATGGAACCTCAATATTTTACAAAGAAAATTGACAGCTTGTGATGTATCGTTCCAATGGCTTAAAACGTGGCATAAAACAATTTATTTTCATCAAACCAGTTGTTGCATATAAGATGCATCAAATCGTTATTCTCAGATTAATCCAAATATCAATGTACTGCCTCGTATAAATTCTCTCAACTACTTTAATGAGATCCAGTACATGATCAGAGCCCATCTTCAGAACAACTGATGAACACAGAGCCCGAAAGCACAAACAAAACCTAGGAAAATAAATTACTTATGGAATAAAGGTTGCTTCCAAATACAGCTCTTGACTGTAATATGAATAGAGTTTTGCACTGCCTTGGCTTCTCTTTCTGATTTTCAACGCAATATTATTTAGTTGCACAAATGAACAAACTGACTGGTAAGGAGAAATGTAGAAGACAAACACACTGATTTTGATTATAATACTATTAATTCGTCATTCATTCATCTGGAACCGTGGTGAGGAGGAAAAAAAAAAAAGAGAGATGCTCCACTTTTGCTGGAAAGAATAAGAAGTGACAAAGATTACTTCTCCCAGGTTTTTTAATAAGCTTAAATAGTTAACACTGAATTTGTGAAAACTATTTTAGTGTGAAAAGCTACCAACAATTAATGTTGCTTTTAGTTTCTCTTCTGCCTATGTAGTGTCTACGCATTGTTTTAATGTTCAGTTTTCCTCCTTCTGTTATCTATTCACAATATTTTAAACTATTATGTGTTTTACTAATCTTATCTATAAATTTCAATCCTCCAAAGGCTTAAAGAATTTTGAACAAAATTTTGTCCTTGATTTAATGGTAGAAGTTAGTGAAAATATTTCATTGTGCTGTAGGATTTGCTAGTGAATTATAAATTCAAGCCATGCAAAGTGCTCACTGGACGTCCAAAATCAGTTCACACATGGTCCTCTGGAGGAGTGATATATGCAAGGGCATAAGATAATCAGTCTAATGATTTGATATGTGATATCTAGCTTAAAAAAAATCTCTCATCAAATGCTGTTACTGTCATAAAAGAAGGATAGAATAATAAATTACTAGGCTAAAATAATAAATGACTGTCAGATTTGCTACCTGATTTTTCATTCAATTTTTCACTATGTAGGATTATAAAATCATTTATAAAAGGGTTTTAATTTACCTTGGCTGTGAAAAGTGATAAAGTCTAAAAAGATGCTAAAAGCAGATCTGTTGACATGTCAGAAGTTGTTTTGATTGAGTTTCTTATTTTTAAGTGTAAAGATAGGCTGGTAGATGTTTATGTGTTCATCTAAACGTATAAACTTCATATTTAGTCTGCGTAAAATGGCCAATCTGAGTTTTCTCTGCTGTGAATGACAGCACAAAACCTGCATACGAATGAAAAGATTTGACCTCTACTTTAGCCACCAAAAAAATAACTGGGAAGTACAACTTGGGCAGTTTGTCTTAGCTGTTGTTATTAACACACTCTATGCAATGACCTTCCAACCCAAAGACATTTCATGTATCTTCAACACTTCTCTTTTTTTAAACTTTTGACATTTCAAGCGTAGAAAACAGATTTTCCTTCAGAAAAGGTTTTCTGAAGCACAGCTATTTCTGAGCTATATGAACTCCCTTACCTTTGGTCGTATTGATAATCAAGGGGCCCTTTTCTGTTTAAAGTTTCTATGGTTACAGCTGAACCAAAGATGTGTGTTGTGCTGCTGTTTTGATAAAAATGGATATTCATCAGAAAGAGCAGTTCCCGTTGCTCATAAAATCAAAGAATTTTGCATTTAAAAGGATAATTTATACAGCAGATAATACATTTTATAAACTGGTTATATAAGCTTATTTATAAACATATTCATAATTAAAATATTTTTATGCTTTCTCCTTATTCACCACTGAGGTAATCTGTGAGCGGCATGTAGGGAAGGGAGTCTATAATTAAAACTGGAATTGTTATTTTTAGAGAAAAATGGATGGGAATCATAAATGAGATTTCCCTCATCTTATTTTCTTACCATTTGGTACTGTCCCCCAAGAGAATTTAGGCCAATGAGCTATAAAAGATATTAACTGTCATAGTCAGAAGATTAAGCTAAGATAATACTGGTACTTTATATACTGGTCTCATTTAGTTTCTGCATTTCCTTATTCCTTTCAAATATAACAACAGCAAAGAGGTATTGGATACAGTTAGCTCAGGCATTATTGTAGTTTGCTGATATATTAAGTTATATATATTTTAAGAGGAATTAATAACAAGCCAATTTGTTTCTACACATGTCAAAAAAAAAAAAATCCTTCACAAACCAGCTTCATAGACACCTGTTCTGACTTGCGGGACCAAAATCACACTAGGTATAGCATCTAACAAATGTTACCACAGCCCATGAAGTCAAGGAAGAGGAGAGTCAGACTTCTCTTGGCACAAGTACTGAGACAGTCTATAATGCTTCATTATTTTAGGCTTTCCATTATCGAATTTATTTTAAAAGTTCACTACCCTTTTATAAGGCAGGAGCTTTGATATGTGTTTTTCATATTCATGGCAGTTTTCTGAGTATCATGATTGAATATCAAGGCCATTTTCATAGGCCCATTCTAAAGTAAATCCACAGCTTCTCATAAGTGACATAGGAAAATGTAATCTTGATGAAACGACTGGTAGGTGGTTGGAAAACAATGTGAAAATGCCTCACTGAACACTCAAACCGGGTGCACATGCTAAAGAAGATTCCGCAGGTCTCTGTCCTTACACTGATACCGCTTGATGTTTTCATTAGGGAGCTGGCTAATGCAATAGCAAATGCTTCTTTAATGCATAGTACTATGCCAGGAGGAGATTGCAAACATTTCCAAGGACAGGATTAGAACTCAATATGGTTCTTGTAAAGGTTTAAAATCAACAAGGATAAATACTAAACTCAGAAATAATCAACTGAATAAATAGAAGATAGGGAATGAGCGTTCAAGCAGCACTTCTGAAAAGGATTTCAGGTTTACAACATGAACATGTGTCATCAGTATCAACACCTGGCAAAAGAAAAGAAAACTGGATTTGTAAACACATATTCTACAGCATCTTTTCACTCTATTTCGCAACAGCAAAGTGTCAACCCCTGTACTCAGATCTAGTTTTCGGCATTGCATTTCAAGAAATACATGGACTGATTACAATAATTTCAGGGAAAATTAGCTAGTGATTAGAGGGCTAGGAAACATGACTGAAAGAAGCAAGTCAGTTTAGAGAAAAGATGTCTGAAATGAGTCTCTGAATAGGTAAAATGCTGCTGGAAAGGAAAAGGAATAAACACGACGGTTTATTCATGTCTCATTGGGCTAAGAAGGAACGTTACAAACTTGAAGAGCGGGAGGAGAGATTTAAGTTAGACGTTCAGGAATAACTGCAGTCATAAGCTGTAGGAATACTGAAGCACTGGGTTAGTCTCTCTTGGAATTTGTGGAACCAGCATCACTGCAATTCTTTAAAAAGAGATGAGATAGACCTCTGTCGGCAGTGGCACAGGCGTAGCTGGTTGTGTCTTGGGCCGGTGAGGGACAGGGACAGAGCAGATGCTGGACGCGGTCTTCCTCCAAAGAACCAAATTCTTCAGCCAGGGACTGGCAGTGCTGAAAGAAGATCTAATACCCTCCACTGGATATGGGAGATCTGTCTGAAATGGGAGGTTCTGTCTGAGAACTGGTTAAACTGATAAGTCTCTCCCAGAAGAGGCAAGTGATGTGTTACTGTGGTGCTTTCTGCATTATCCTGCTTTCATTTGAAACGATTTGGAGTCAGATTTTGGGCGTAGTTTTGAAAAAGAAAAGGCGTTTGTGTTCACAGGAGGCAAGAGAAGGGAGGGGAACGTGTAGGCATGTCTTTAACTGGTTCACAGTTAAGAACATTGAAGCGGGATTAATAATCCAGAAAAAACTTGAATGTAGACATTGCTGAACCAAGAAAATGCCTTTTGCCAGTAAAGCTTGTTCCGACACCTTTGAATTGTTCTGGGAAAATAACTCTTTTCCAGATTTAAAATATAACTGTACTGGGAGCAGATGGGTGAATGTGCCAGGATAGTTATATATAACTAGTTAATTTAAATACAGCTATATTAGCAACTGTTCGTCTACACACATCACCTAAATTGTCCTCAGTAGAGTAACACTTCCAGAGTTCTTCAAAGATAACATATCAACAGAGATCACTTGACGTAAAATCACAGGAGAACTGAGAATCTGTAAACTGCCTTATAAATTGACTTTTAGATTTCACAGATATTTAAGCATAATTTATAAAATTTTGTGAACAATGATTTCAGTCCTATTAGGATTACGTGCAGAAATTCCAAGAAATTTGATTAAGACAAAAATAATCACCTGTTCATGTTTTTGTGTGAATTATCAGCAGCCACCTTAACCTAAAAGTATGCAATTTCCATTTCCGAAATGTCAGCTGTTAACATGACATCCTGGAGGCTCTTCTAATCTCCAGGATTCCTGTGCTATGAGGATTAAGTCAATTGCACAATTATGTACTAGAATGAGCACCAGTGAAGCAGTGAGCTACTGTGTAATTTCTAACCATACAAATAATTGGGGGCCTTTCCATTAAATTTAGTTTAAAAAGAGCTGCTTCCTCCATGCAAAGAGAGAATACTGCTATCAACACAGAGCGTTGATAGCCTTTTCGTTTACAGATTACAAAGTAATATGTAGGTTTAGGGAAGCATTATGACCTCCTGTTTACAGGTAAGGAAACTGAGGCATAAAATGACTAAGGACTCCTTTAATATAAAGAAGATCTATAAGAATCAGATACCTAAATATGAGCCAAATGTCTAAATACCTGTGAGGATATGTGTCTAAGTGATTTGTCCAACTTCAATTTAAATTCGACACAATCTAAATTCTTCTAACGTACTAGTAAGCTAAAAATTAAACATACCACGTAACTCAGGGAGAAGGAAGGAACTTAAATTAATTATATGCTGAAGGAAGCTTAAAATGATGTACAAGTATCAGATGTCCTGAACTGGATGAAAGGGCTTCATGATTACAAACATGCCACTTGAGGTAAAAGTTTCTATGCTGCTGATGGGACAGGGTATAAGGTTATTTGCCCCTTTAACTGTCCCCGAGTAAACACACATTACAGATGGGTAAGTATATTATTTCCTTCTTAAAACAGGTAAACTGCTATTCTCACAACCCACAAAGTCTACGGCAAAACCAACGCCTTTTTAGCACCCTTTTTCCTCTGTGGTCGCAAGAACTTATTCTTTTCATGAACAATAAAATACACTATGAGATTTTCATTTATGCATGATTTCATACGCAACAAGGAAAGTTCTTTCCTAACTCAGCTAAAGCAACAAAACTCATATAGTAGTGCCAGATTTAAGGATCTTATATATCAACTTCAGTTAATCCCTGGACTTCTCAAAACTCATATCCTAACATTGCGTTATTTCTCGAACTGCTAAAGCAATATGAGGATAATAAACTCACTGTGCTTTGTCTCCATACAGTGACAGTCCTTGCTATTTTCCATGAGCTGCATGTTGATACAGATCTGTACACACTCCTTTTTGGAGAGAGCGTCCTAAATGATGCCGTGGCTATCGTGCTGACATAGTAAGTATACCTACCTCCATTCTTTACTTGGTGATGAAATTCAAGCTTTAATTGCTGATATAATTCTCTTTGTGCAAGTATAGATACAGCATTTGAAGATTACATTAGAGGGATATAGTTATGGAGTTGTTCTTGGTTTGTCAGTCACCAGAATTCAAATGTTGTTAATGGTAGCTGTATAGCCAAACTGCAATTTCTGTTCATTTGCTTTAGTCTAGAAAACAGTATATTTAGTAAAATGTTTAAATTTAATTTAACATGATTTCCTTTCCTCATCTGAAAAAAAAATCTCAACAAAATAATGCTGAATGGGCACTGAGGACATAGGGCAACTGTAAAATTGGAGACAGAAGTTCTGAAACAGAAGCTATCTCATATTCTTTTTATTTTTTGCAATCTATTATTTTCCAAGATTAAAATCACAAAGTGGTGCACTGTAACCCAGCTTATCTCCCTCTGCCTATTAAATCCAACAGAGCTTCAGCTGATAATATGATCTTAAATTTATATATAGCCTTTTCATTCTCAGGAATCATCACACAGATCACAAATGATGGGCCAGAATCACAAGTACGTGCTGTCCTAAAAACACACATGCTAAGTACATGATTAACAGGATCTCGGGTTAACTCCGCTCTGCATGTACTACATGCTTCCTGGAGCTTTGCTAGAAATACAAATAATCCTCTCAGATAATCTTAATAGTAACACAACTTTGCAAAAGCAAATTCTACTTTCCAGGATGCTTGAAGATGTTTCACAGAAAGCACCAGTCATTGCCACCTATCTCCTTAAAATACTGTTCCTTAAACTAGGAATGATTCTGTCCTTGAGAAAAATAGGTTTTTATAGAGTTTATGTTCATTAAAAAATGAACTCACATCTTGTCTGAAATCCCACGGAGAAGCTTTTAATAGTTTAGTTGCAACAAAACCAAAATTGTTTCAAGAACAAAGAAACAATATTCCCTTTTAATTTATATTCTCCAATTATCAGTCTGGTTACATTCACCTACACTAATCTCCTTGCATTGTTTTTGGAGCAAGAATTATATTTCCAAATGCTGTCAAGTGTCTGAGCACAGCACTTGAGGATTAGATACAGCACAGCTGTCACATTCAGTGACTGTGCTTGGAGTGTGTCACTTAGCAGAGCATCTAGTACATCAGAAAATAAAATGCACAAAAGGAAATCTAAGAAAGAGTACAAACTGCAGATAGAATAGCACCCATTAAACTGGCTGTTAAATAGGAAATAAGCATGCAGTGACAAAAGTCTAAGAATTTTTTTCTCTTACTGTTTCACTTAGTTTTATATAGTAAAGACTTCATTTTATATAATACAGACCAAGTCTTTTAAAGCCCATTTAGACTCTTCTTCTGCTAGTTTGAGGTTCCTAGCGACTGTGTAACAGTTAAGGCTGCAACCAGCTCTGAGACCCACAACCTGCTGGGTGTCTGTAGCTACCGCAATGTCAAAGTGTATGGATCTTTTCAAAGGTGAAGCTCCAAGAAGCTGTTGAACTGCAAAGCATATCTAGGAAGAAAAGTACTATCATGTAGTACATGATTCATGAGTTTCTAACCTCTACTCTTCCCTGTACTCAGATCTAGGTTATGTCCCCCAGCCTGTTATGTTCCCCTGCCTGGATACAGAAAACCATATGAAGGATGCCTGCTGCAAATGCTGGCTATCTTCTTCTCATGTTTTCTTTGCTGTATCTGGCAGATTACAGCTCTATTCTTTACCATAGAATTGCTTGTCCCTGGAAAACTAATGAAGCGTGTATATATTCAGCAGCATTGTTGCACTGAT